ACATTTTTATATGCTTGCGAGTCTTGGACGCTGACTGCAGAGCTAGAGAGAAGGATGCTAGCAATGGAATTGAGATGCTATAGAAGAATCCTAGGTATCACATTTGAAGACCGCATCACAAACCAAGAGATTTGAGACAGCTTACTGCACTAATTGGTCCCCAAGATGACCTTCTAACTATCATTAAAAAACGCAAGCTAAAAATCTATGGCCATTTTAGAAGGTCTTCGGGGCTCGCAAAGACCTACCTTCAGGGAATAGTACCAGGAAAAAGAAGAAGAGGCGGATAAGAAAGCGATGGGAAGACAACATAAAAGAATGGACGGTCTGCCATTGAAAGACAGGAATGGAGAAAGAATGTTGACAAATCTTACTTCGTACCCCGACGGTCCAACAGACTAAGGGATAGGTAAAGGAAAAGGTAAACAAATTCACGTGGTGTCTTACTAGCTAATTTTAATTATTCCAGTAGTTTTCATGTTTCACGCAACACTAAAGCTCCGAGGAGCACAGCGAAACACTGTTATAAGCTTTTTACCTATCAGTATAGCGTTTCATTAAATGAATATTGAAACAATTTGCAATCTAGTTTGTTGTGGAAGAAATTATGAAGTTATTGCTTAAAACGTTTCGTCTAAGGAGAGAGAAAACAAAAACACTCGCAGCTAAAATAATTCGTTTGTCAATACTAACAAGATTACAAAGAAAGTTTGTGTTACACAAACTCAGAGGCGGCCCCCGTCGAAGTCGGATCCCTGTCGGATCTGCCTATTTGCAAAGAATATTCAAGAGGTGATTTAATTTTGATGGTCAAAAGTCATAACGTTTCAAAGTTTTATTTGCTGTTGTAAAAAATTTTTTTTTGTTTTACATGTTTCGGGTGTTCACTTCTAAGTTTAAAATAATTAACTTCTCGCTGGACGATGGAGGATGGCAACAAGTAGGGTATGAACCCTGCCTGGACGTTCAGTCTGCGTGCTGGACTGTCGTTCGGATTTATCGATGGTCCCTGGTTCAAACCCTGCATGCTCCCATCCCCCGTCGTCCTACGGGAGGTTTGGACAAGGAAGTAAACTATCTTCAACTCTGAAGGAACATCCGAAACATGTAATACAAACAAACAACCCGGGACCGTAGAGATAATTAGTTCAGCACGCTAACAGCACGACCAGGCATTGCTTTTAACTTAATAATAAACTAATAGCCTATTATTAATAAAGAGATATATTACACATTACGGCATGACATCTACCGGATATGTACAATAGGCCAATGTCAGACGGGCGATTTTAGATAATCTTTCAGCATTGATTTGTAATTAAAAAACAAAAAAAGAAAAGAACAGATATATCGTGCTTTTACTTCGATATCTCAGCACAGTTAGGCCTATCAATAGGGATATTAGCATTTTTATTTAAATGGAACTAGAATGAGGATGTAGATCTATCTAAATTAAACTTCTGATTTAGCACTCTTAAGATCTATATCTACTAGATCTAGATCTAAAATATGACTTGGAATAATGTAGGTGTAATTTAGATAAGATTTGTGTAAAAAAAAAAATATCCTAGATATACTATCAATATACTGAATGCAACATTAAATTTAAAAATAGTAAATTAGTTTTAGTATATTATAACATTGCAATATTATCAAAACGTTTGGAAATCAAAATCTTCACTTTAAGTCTAGAAATTGAAATTCTACATCTTAATCTAATCTATTTTAGTCTAAACTAGATCTAGAAATTCTAGATCTAGACTCTAAAATGATTTTAATGAGAATATAAATCCAGATCTAGATATACTATAATAAAAATCTAGATCTAGTTTTAAAAATCTAGATTAGATCTAAATCAAGATATCATTCCTTTTTTAAATGCGAGTCACATAACGAGGCTTAATAAACATTAATATACCGAGTTCTTTTAGCATTTCATTTGAAGAATTAATTCCATATAACGTCATAGGAAAAAAAAACACTACGTCACACGGCCTAGCTAGACTAAAAATCATCTTCATCAATACGAGCCATTTATCGAGTGTTCATAGACATTGGTGCACCGAGTGCGTTCTTTTAGCATTTCATTTAAAGAATTCATTCCATGTGACGTCAAAGGAAAAAAAACCACTACGTCACAAGGCTTAGTTAGACTAAAATATGTTTTCATCAATACGAGCAATTTTTCGAGGGTTAATAGACATTGGTGCACCGAGTGTGTTATTTTAGCATTACATTTAAAGAGTCCATTCATATGACGTCAAAGAAAAAAAATTCCATTACCTTACAATAGGCTAGTACCGGTACCATAAAAAATGTCTTTATTTACACGAGATATTTAACGAGGGTTCATAGACATTTTTGCACTGAGTTCTAATAGAATTTATTTAAAGAGGATCAAAGCCGCATTGTTTTAGCGTTTTGTCTGTCAGTCGGTCTGTCCGTCATCTTAATATAAAAAAACAACAACAACTAAAAGCTATTAAAAATTGATTAACCTTTATTTTACGTTTCAAAACATCGCAATAATTTTAGGTATGAACACAATTGATTTAAGTTTATATAATAGATTGTTCCGGATGTTTGTATAAATATTAAAAGAAAAAGAGAATTCCAGATAAATGTAATACCGTTAATTAAATTTGTTGGATGGTCTCGTATAAAAATTAGAAGAACTACAGCCTTGTGGAGAGATATTCATACCTTACTTTGGTGTTTGGATGTTGTTTTCCTTAGAATTCGGAACATGATATTAACGATAATTAGATTTTTTATGTTTTAAGTAGAAAATTAATTGTACTGTAAGAGAGAAGTGAATTAAAATATTTTTCATAAAAATCCAAATATTTCGTAAATGAGAAGATTATTTGTTTATTAATTAGAAGAGGGAGTTCAAACAGTTATTTGGCGTTAGTAGATTTTTAAATAAATTCGGAAATTTCTGGCGACAATTTGTAAGAAAATGTAAGAAATGTAAGTCGATTTCTTTTCAAAACAAAATTCGGAACATTCTTTATCGATTACTAAACTTTTATGTTATGTTTCAGCAAGAAAATTAAATGTCTAAAAAGTGATTTTCAGCAATCAATTCTAGTAAATTACTTTTTTTAAAGCCCTGAACAACCTATTGTCGATATTTTTAAAATTTGTTTAAAGATGAAAATACGAACAATTTGATATCGATAATCAAATTATAGTGACGCATTGTCAAATAATATACGTGTAATATTAGTCAATTATGCGATTTCAAACAATCATTAGGCATAATTCATTTTTTATAAAACAATATCCGGAACATTTGTACACTTAATGAAAGATAAGTCAGTATAGAGATTTCGATTTAGCATTAATATGCTATTTACATAAAAAACGGAACAACATGTTATTGATAATGTGTTTTTGCAACGTTTAAGCATGAAAATTGAATGTAATATAAGTTAGAAGAGCAAACAAACATTTGTTGGCGTTGATTAGTATTGCACAAAACAGTCCGGAACAATCAATTTTAGATACATAAAACTATTGAGATGTTACGGGAGGAACATTAAAGGGTAAATCAGATTTTCAATAGTTTTTAGAGTTCTTGTTTTTTTTATCTAATCGTGATGGACCGACAGACAAAACGCACAAAAACTAACCTTTTCTATTCTGATGAGGGCACTAAACAAAAAATATATAAAATCTGATTTTTTTTAAAGTGTAAGAAATTAGTTTAGTACCATGTCAAGGCCGGGCTTTACGCTACTACACGAAAGTCGCTGCATAAAAATCCATTTTAGAAAATGTGCGTGACATTTACATACAAAGTGCATTCTTAGCCTTTATAAACAAACATAAATGTTTTCTTTTAATTTTAGCAGCTAGTTGACCAGAAAAAGCACCTTTAATTAATATTTATATTTGTTGTTAACATTTCTAGAACATTTTATAAAAATATTTGACTTAACGATACTGACAAGACGCTAGTATTGTTAATCTTTGTGAGCATATTGTAACATTGCCTCCCTTACATTTACGTTATTGTTTTAGAATTGGTGTATTTTTATGAAAAAATCGCTTGCATAATTAATTCTATAAATTAAACGGTTTGCTTTTAGAAAACCAAAAGTAGCCGTTGCACCTAAACTTTTCAAGCCGCATTTAATGTTGAAATAATATTTTTCATGTCTTTTCTAGTTTTCGAGATCTGAGAGTGACAGACGGACAGACGGACATTTTGCACAAACCTAATAGCGGCCGCTAAAAATGGCTTGAGATTGTGCCTGATAGTGCTAATTAATCCAAGAAAATAACATAAAATTGTAAAGGAAAACAATGAAATTAAAAAATTTCAAGCAGGTTCAGGCAAAGTCAGACAGCACATTGAGAGTAATAAGACACACTGACGCATGAGAAAAACATTTCTCAAAAAAATAAAAAAAAAAATAAAAAAATTACAAAAAGTACTTGAGAAAATATCTAGCGGCAGACATAACAGAAACATAATATTTACTCAACATTCTTCTTCTTCGTAATTGTCGTAAAAGTTGTCTCTTGAAAGTCTAGGCCAATGGGAACCTGCCTGAACTGTTCTGCTATGGAACAATCCAAGCAGATGTAAATTTGTTACATTTCTATAGAGGCTAGGCCGAAGGTCGATCACACCGGGAACCTCCCCCATATTTCTTCCCTGTACCACATCAGCCGTGCGGGGGTCAGTCATAAAATGGCCCTTGGGCAAGCGAGCGTGGAAGCTGACATGTTTGTTAGGGATCTCTACCAACGTCCCCTTCCCTTTTTTCAGTGCAACGTGTACACACACACACCCACTTTCGTCAAGTTCAAAGTAGAAAATTTGAATAATTAATTTTGCATCTGTGGATTGTCCTATCGAGCTAAATTTGGCATTAAAATCTTGTATTACATGACAACACATTTCATGGTTCATTATATTACATTTTGATGCTATGGAGAAAAAAGTTCTGATCATTTATAGATCTAAACGGACGCATTTGGTGTATGGCCAGTTAGCTCAGTTGGTAAGAACGTCGTGCCAATAACGCTAATGTCATGAGTCGACCCCATACTGCCCTATTTTTTTATTTTTTTTTTGCTCTCTCTTAAATTTAAATTTAATTATGAAAAATTTAACAAATGTAAGTTTAGTCTTCTATATTATCTGAACATTAAGTAAGAATGTATTTTATCTATATACATGTATACTTAATAGTACTTTTATCATACTCTATAAATTCAATCTCGGTGGTGAAAAAAATAGGATCATGGAAAGTGACTAAATTGTTTTAAAAAAAAAAAAAGTTGGAATTCAATATTTTACATTTCTTGGCTGTCTGGCTCGCCTGCTCTTATAATGTATTTATTAAAAAATTGTGGACATCCTCCCTCCTATGTGTAAGTGCTTGTATGTTTAATTATGATTTAATTTTGTTAGCGTGTATGGGCTTGTTGAACTGGAGTTTCTATTATCTAAATTAAAAAAAAAAAGCTCCGTGAAAAGCCTGATGATTTAAAAACTCACATTGTTGGATGTCAACAGATTTGTTTCTTGCCTTGAAAGTTTTTTTGTAATATTTTTTTTTTCTCTTTTTGCTATTGTTTTTCATTTCCCTTTGCGTGCTGTCCCTTTGTATTCAAGTCTTCATCTAATCCATCAAAGTTATCCGCGTCATTTTTTTTTTTGTTGAAGTCTTCATTTTTCTCTCTCATAAACACCATTTCTCTATGACCCATTTCAACTCTTTCCATGGATGACAGATGACAAACCAACTTTTATTTTACCTACACACACGATATCACAAAAGGAGAAAACACCCGACTGTTGGGTCACTAACTAGATCTAGATGTGCAATGTTCCAAATTATAGATCACATTCTTTTGTATCCCCATTCAGTCATCAAATAGGCGGAGCAAGTTTTTGTTCTTTGACCTCCCTTAGGATAATTAGTGCAAGCTTCCGGAATGGGCAAAACAAAAACCTTCGCAATATATCACAAACACATATTGAGAAAAAAATATATTATCAACTTGTTATTTAGTTTGATCAGTACATAAAATATAAACATGTTCAAACATATGCGTCACTGGTCTCAGGAGTTTATTTTTAATTGTCCAAAACCAACTTGTAACGGCATCTTTTAGTATGTGAAGCTGACTTACACGTTAAGTGTCAGCAGCCAACATTTATTGCATTTCTGATTTTAAATACATTTCTGCTGCGTGTTAAAGAGAACTTAATTTTAAAAAATCAATTATTGTTCGAAGAATATTTAATGTTAGGTTGAAATCAAACTAACTGGCTCTAATTTACTGCTATCAACTAAGAAGAATGTCGTCTGTTGCTTTAATGATTTCCCGCGTTACATTTGCTGTGCTCTTGACTTACGCTTGTCTATTTCTATTACAACATAATATGCAAATGCAGAACTTTCATCAAGTGTTCAAATTTTGTCGAAGTGAAAACTTGAGCTGCAACATTGTCTTCCTTACAAAGTAAACAAGGCTACAAAGTCGGTTTGTATGGAAACACTAACTCAAAATCGGCCCCCGAAGTGGTCCACCCAAGCAGTTAAAAAGGCAGGTTTCAATATTTTCAGAAAGAATATCAGAATACAATTCTATCAAAAGCAAATGACAGAGAAGAATGGAGAAAGAAGGTTAACAGATCTTGTGTGGTGCCCCAACGGTCCAGCAGACCAAGGGATAGGTGAAAGTGAAGGTGAAGTTCAATGTGAACCTGGTATAACTAATGTCATATAATGATTGTCTAACTGATCTAACTGATATGGATAAGGTCAATCTCTTATTCAAAGCCTCAGGAGAAATAAATCATGGAATCATGGAACGCTGCAGTTTGCGCGATAAGAATTAAAATTACTTATTAATTTTTGTTTAAAATTATTTTCCACTTATATGCATTCTAAATAGATTGGTTGGTTTCAACAACGTAAAATAATTTAGCAATACAAAAAATCTAAAACCATTTGCATAAATGTAATAAAAATATGGTAAATGGTCATCTCCCTTATTAAATAGCCTCCCTTGTTTGTTACTATTAATAGTGAATAGTTGAAAAAAAATGGTGTATTTTTATGAAAAAAGTGCTTTCATAGTTGATTTTTAAAATTAAAATTTTCGTTTTCAGAAAAGAAAAAAGTAGCCGTTGCAGCAGAACTTTGAAAGGTCTAAAATATGATGCCGGATTATCAATATCTTTTCTAGTTTACGAGTTCTAAACAGGACTGACAGACAGACCACACAAAACTAACAGCGTCTATTCCCTTTTCGGAGGCCGCTTAAAATAGTCAACAGTTCCTCAACTTTATAAATTCGACCCATTAACGCTAAAACGTATACACAATTTTAAAATCTTTAATGTGACAACGAATTTATACCCCGTCAGCTACATGTGGAGTCTATTTTCTTAACTAGACATTTCAATACTAGAGGATAATCTCATCCATTTTTGTTGTTGTCTTCTCTTGAGAGCCAGTGCTTTCAAAAAGATTGATTGGTTCTTACAGGATTTGGAAAGCGTTGGAGGTTCTTTCATAAAAGTAACTTGTTAATCTTAGTGACTGGAGGCCAGGAGGACACTTAGTTGATATATATATATGTGTGTGTGTATAGCTAAGACTGTCCGTCTAGACCAGAATAAAAAGCTAAGATCAGTGAGAAAAAAGGCGTGTATAGTGTATTGGAACAGACCTTTTAACCTTATTCCATAATTGATGAAAACTTTGCCCTGGAGGTCAAGTCAATGCCAGCCAAAGATTATATCAGAAAAGTATTTCTTTATATGAAAAGTGAGCTTGTTTGACGTATTATTCTGTCTTGTTCCTTCTGACATCTTTCAATTTGCGCGATATTTCGTTCCTTGTTACATTTTTTTAAAGTTGGTGGAGGAGGGGAGAGCTGTCACCGGAATTGAGTTCTTGAAAAAAAAAAAAAAATGTTTCAACATTTTTTAAAAATTTCTGTCGCTTCATTGCTTTCATTTTTGAGACTGGTAAATGTGGGTTTTAAGTCATTTGTACAGGAAAACAATGGTTTTGTTACATTGTATTACAAGAGAACGTCATCAAATAAATGTTTTAAATGGCTTGCTCTTCTAGATGGAAATGGGAAGCAAAGTATATAAACCCCTCCTTTTGAACGTTCGGGTGCAGGACTTCATCCTTCCTTTAACAGTGGCTTGTTCAACACTAACCCCAACCCGAGTATGGTTCTTTTTTTCTACCATGCACATAGAATCGGTAGCTCGAATCAAGGAAGTGCTGAGAATATCTATTGACTGTATGTTGCGGCTATATTAATAGGATCTTAATAAAAAGACATTTTAACATGTTATCCTTCTTTGATTTTTTGAAATACTGTAGTGCTACCGTAAAACCTTTACTTCTAGACAGTCTTGTTTGAACTGAAAAATCTTACATATAATACCAGTGTTTATATTTTTTTCTTCAACGGAACACTTTACACATTCTTAGAATTTAGTTGAACACTTTAGACATTCTTAGAATATAGTGGAAAACTTTACATATTCGTAGAATTTAGTGGAACACTTTATTTATTTCTTAGAATGGATTATTTGCTATTAGTTTAAAATGAAACATCAATAATTAAAAAGTATTAAAAATTTAGCATTATTAATTCTTTTCATGTTCAAAAGTATAATATATCATAAACATAGGAATAAAAAAAAAGGGGGATCTAATGACTTATTTTGGTGATGAGCATAACTTCTTAGGTATGAATACGCTATAGGTAAACTGAATTCTAAAGTCAGCTGTGGCGCTAAGACTTTTAATGTGAAAATCCTGCTTTGCACCAAGAAGTTGTAAGAAGCTGAACGAAAACCTTGCTACGAAATGTTGTGGTAATCTTCAGAAAATCTCGGCAAGAAATCACTTCATTAGAATCAGAATCCATATAAATAAGTTCTAAGTTCACAGTAATAGTTTTATAGAACCATTGTTTACGTTACCCAGAAGGGCCAATAGAATACATTTTTTTGTGTGTATTTCATGTCATTGATTAATGTGTAGACTTACTTGTTCATTACGTCCATAGTTCGTGGAGCATGAACTCAGGACTCTTCCTGGAGACTACAATTTAGAAAACATTGATCTACACCAGGGTTTCCCAAACTTTTGACCTATGAGTACCCCTTCTAGAATTTTCATAACGCCTAGAACCCCTCGCCCCCCGAAAAAAGGATTTATTTTAATAACGATTAAAATGTTTTTGCCTTCGTTTTGTTGGCCTACAGAGACAAAATAATAATTCAAGTTTTACTGTGAAAAAAAAATGTATTCGTCTTTGCATATTATTCATTCTTTACTACGCACAGAATTACTACATGAGCCTTGCGTATAGCGAAGGCATGCAGTATATCATATGAATTCTGTTTCCTACAAAGATCACGCTCAATAGCTAGAATTACCAATTGTTTCAATCTATCTTTGAGAATTGTTGACCTCAATTAATTCTTCATTAGATTGAGGTGCGAGAAGCTTCTTTTACTAGTTTCCACAACTACGGGTATTACATAATGCCGTCGGATTGGCGTTTTCCATATTGAATGACACCACGAAATGACAATTTTTGTCTATATATTTCAGGAAATTTGTATGAGTTTTCAAAAGATTTTAATAATTTCCGGATATTTCCAGGACTTTTTCGTATATTTTGCAATTTCAGGAGATTTCCAGTCGCTCCTGGTAAATCAGGAGGCCGCGGAAAATTTGTTATAAGTTATAAAATGGTTTAATTTATTAAGTTATACACCTAGAATAAGCGCGGGAAAGTGCGGAGCCCACTGCGGTCGCATAGGTTGCAGTGTGGCCTAAGGCCGGCCCTGAAAAATAGCTACGCAGCCGGTCGACTAGTAATATATATTTTTTAATATGTCTAATAAAAAATATTAAAAAATGCATTAATTGTTTCATTTATTTCACAGACTTGAGTAGCTTGGATGACTTCAATACCTCAGGACTTATGTCAAGTATCAATTTCAAAATCAATAACTTGAATTTCGAAAACAATAACATCAACATCAGTTTCATCGAGTCTC